GGATAACAACATCAACGCTTCAAGATGCTCTTGGTTGATTGCTGCTCTTAAGCGGGTTTTAATTATTTTTAATTTAGAGAAGGCCCTCTCGCAGTTGACTTGTGTGCATGCTAATGTCATAGCAACTACATATATTTTATATAGGTTCTTGAATGCTGAAGGCGATGAACGGTTCATCAACGCACAATGAAAGACAATTGATCTGTATATGAAATATCGGGTGTTGAGTCAACACTTATAGAGTAATATCTGGCAATTTGTATTTCTTGGATTATGGTTTTCTGTACTTCTTCAGCCATAATACAAATAAACTGTTCATAAGTTTGGTATGATATGTAAAACGTTTTTCCTTTTCCAGGGTTACCATGTTTTGAGAGGTGAGTAGCAAGAAATGAATCAAACTCTGCAATTAACTCCAAAGCCATTAAAAAATTTCCATTATGAGGACTTCCTATTTTTGAATCATGACCCCGAAATGGCAATCCCCTTGAAGCTAATGACTTCACAACTGCTACTACTCTCTTTAAAACGTTTATCCAATATAAACGTTCATTATTAATCTGATTAACTAATTGCTGATCAATTCTGCAGTTTACCTTGCTATGGTTTTTCAATTTAATCATACAGTTTCGATGCTTTAATGAATTACTATGTTCTGTTATTCGTTCTTCAGTTTTTTTCCATAAAGAAAATCCTGTTGTTGCAAAGTTGGTTACTCCACCAAATAGCATACAAGGATAACAAAAAAGAGCTTCTTTGCTTTCCGAATAGACTAAATAACTACGTGCTATATTTTCTCCATTTTTTAGAGTTGTTTTAAGACAATTTTTGTTAAAGTATCTAATTACAAAATAAATTAATTAATAAGGTAAAAATGTTAAATTGTTTAAAACTTTAGTAGGTACCTGAAGAAAGTTTTATTGACTCCTTTAACACATTTTATGTATGGCCTTTTAGAATTGGAAATATTTAGATTTTTCAGATCTTGAGTAAAACCATAACTAGATATAAAATCTCTTAAAATATCATCTATTACCCACGTGGCTGGATCAGATCTATTAAGAAAGTAGATTAATAATTAAAATAAAGTATAATATTATTACACCTATAGTATGATGTAGTATATTATACCCAGGATAATAATTACTCCTATTATCGCCCTCTGAAATTGAGTCAGTTTGTTGATCATTTGTTTTGTTAAGAGTTGACAAATTAAGACTGGTGTTGTCCACATCAACTATTAAAACAAAATAATACTAATTAAATAAAACATCAACTTTATAGTACTAAAATTTACCTTCAATAGCTGGGGAGTATTCTGATAAACTGCCAGTGGTAATTGTTTCCATGGAACAAGAGTTGTCCGCAATATTTTTGTTCATCGCTACACAATAAGTATACAGTCAACTATTATAATTTAATTATTATAATATTATAATTGAATACTCATTACAAAAAAAATATGTACTAAGTTACTGCATATATTTTAATTGATTTATACTTATACAGTTATATATATATAATTGCTTAGTACTCATTACTAAGGGTTATATGCTACAATTGTTATACACAATTAA